CGCAGCACCCGCAACACCCGCAGCGGGGAGACCACCGTCTAGGTAAATATACTACTAATGTTTTAGTTTTACAAACTCTATTTTGTATTGTCGGTTACCAATCAAAGTTCTTTGTAAATGTATTGTACAGAATACCATTGTTAATAACATATATTAGAAAATCGTGAGATTGTTTCATAAAAATAAACAAGCTTAAAAATTTATGACTGAAAAAAGTTCTACAATCACTACTTGACTGGAAACAATAATTTTCGTTGGTGGTCTCGAATTTTATATTATTTATTTATATATTGTCCGTAAAATTGATGAAAAAAATATTATGTTTAATGTTTTGGCTATCAATGACCTAAATTTTTTATAAAATAATTATAACTAAGAAGTTTCTGCTTCATTGACATAAAGTAATCATGTTTTGTAATATTCGAGTGTAAATCAGCCATGAAACAATTCAAATAAGTTCAAAGCCTTGAACCATTGAGCTGTGACTCAACAACTAAATTGACTGAACTCGGAGTCTACAGGCTATAAACTGTCCTGTGACTCGCAGCTCACAATCATATCTCTATGCAAATACAAATTTAGCGAGATCTGTGAGCCGGTACACTTATCTGCTTTACACATGGAACCGTGAGCTGATCTGCAGATCATCATTTTTATATGAGTTACCCATAACTATTAAACACAACGAACGTAAGGATCTATCCCAAGTGACCCAGTACTAGGCCATATTTAGTCTGATTTTACAACTTTTGTAATTATATTGTAGAATAATATTGTAATTTATATATAAATGTATTTATTAAGTTTATACTATGTAGAGAATTTTGTAGAAAATGTGTCAGTATTCATTACAATTTCTAAGTTTAAATATATTTTTAGTATCTGATATCAAAAAGAAAAGACTAATACATCATTTATTTGTAGTAAAACTAAACGCACACACTTGCCCTAAGTAAATATTAAAAAATGTACTTAATATACAATTACTCGTATAAAAATCCGTCTAGAATTAGAAACCTACTGTTATTGAATTAGAAGTATTTAATGTATGACAGCTTTTGTGTGAAGTGAACGCTCGAGTGTTTATAGAAATGTGCCAAAATGGAAATCATCCAACAATACCTTCCTGTCTTCTTCCAAATACTTAATATTTTTTTTTCACTTTTGTACTTGTAACTCTGAAGACTGCCGATTTAATATGTGATTTACTAACTACTGGTTAGGTGTGTATTAAAAAAATATGCAAACATGAATTTCAAAGGTTTAGCATTTGTTTGGGGAAACTTCACTGTAGTCAAAAATTTCAAGAACACAGTATAAGAAAGTGTGCCTATTTGATGTTTAGGTTTAGGGCCTAAATAGTTTGCGGCGTGTTTGTGAAAGTTATTGTAAATATTTTTTGTATAGTTACGAGTTTTTAAAATTGTAAAATTAATTTTTATGTAGGAAATTGTAACATCATAGAAGTATTAAATATTAGTTTATTGTAAAAATACAGATTTTTTGTACATACAAGTTTATGCAAAACGTATGAGGTGATATTTTGACCGCAGCTTGACTCCACATCGACGTGGCAACTTTGTGAATATTATACATATATTGTTAGTGAAGAATTTATAAAAAGTTAGCTTTTTGTGAGCATATTGCATAAATAAAACTGCATCGCACATTACAACGTATTTTTATTTCAATTCAATCATTGACCACAATATAAACAATATAAAATTATAAATCTCGATAAAAAACACATGCTTAACCTTTTCAATCTTTGGCCGTCGAAAAAATAATATAAACATCAGACTTTTAAAAATCAACTTAAACAACTACAGAGGAACTTTAGTTAACTATTTCGATGATCTCGAAGACGACATTTTACCTTAAAACTAATTTAAATATTGCAATTTAAATAGATGAATACATTTTAACAATGAATAATAAAATTTATAAAAGATAATTAACATTAAAATACAATTTATTGAGAGAGTGAAAAGGAACTATTTTAACACAACTCCACTAAAACTCAAGCTAGATTGTGAAGATGATAGCACCTATTTCAATGCTAAAGTAACAATTACAAAGGAAGATTTTGTTTACTTTATGTTTATGAGGATCCACGATGTGTCTCCGATGCGGGGGTGGGGTGGAGGGTAGTTGTGCGGCGTCACGCCTGCGCAGATAGTGCAGGCAGGGCGGGCAGCGCGGGCAGGGCGAGGCGCGCGGTGAGGTCGCGGCTTCGCCCCGCCACCGCGCCCAGCACGCGCCCCACCAGCCCGCGCCCGCCTAAGCCCGTGCCCTTCACCTCCTCCACTACACACACATATATGTTAAAATACATGTTACACCAAAACAGCGTAAAAGGGAACATGGCACTTACCTTTCTGTACTGCGAGGAAGTCGAGCAGCAGCGCGGGCAGGTCGGGGTCAGCGGGGTGCGGCGCGGCCAGCAGGCGCAGCGCGGGCCGGGCACAGTGCTGCGCGCTCGCCACCAGCTGCGCCGCCGCCGCGCGCGCCCCCACCAGCAGCGCCGGCGCCTCCGCGCGCCGCCCCGCCGCGATGCGCCACCACGCGCCGCCTGCGCACACACACCCTCAGTCGCCGCCCCGCGCCTCGCGACCTCCGCCGTGTACCTCCTACCTCTCACATAGTTGAGTGCCCCGCTCCAGTCGCGCGCGCGCAGCCCGCCGCCCGCGCCCCCGCCCTCCGCCAGCGCGCGCTCCGCCAGCCACCGCTCGGGGAAGTGGGGCCACTATTACGTATTAGTGAAAAGAAGCTGATATTTCAAGAGTTTTTAATTTGATTTGAAAGTAAGTGTGTTGTAGAAGCGGCACCTGTATGAAGTAGAGCGCATCCTGACAGAAGGGCGCGGGCGGGTGCTGCCAGTACAGGTTGGGGTGCGGCGCGCCCACCACCACGAAGCGCCGCACCAGCGCGCCGCGGCAGTGCGCCAGGTACCTGACACATACTCAGTTGCCAGGCGAGTCTCACAGTGGCGGAGAGTCCCTACTAATGCACATACTGTCCTCAAGAAAAGCCACTGACTGAAGCTCTGGAAATTTCCCTTTTTAAATTTCATTAAATATCATTCTATTTTTAAGTTCTATTTCTCAATCAAATCTAGACTTCCAAAGCTACTGTTTATTCTCTATCTCAATACATTTTGTTCACTTTAGAAAAATCGTCGTTACGCTAATTGTTATAACAATAAATATATCCGTAAACGATAAAACATATCTATGATCTAATTTAAATACGCGGAAGAAACGATATCGATTCTACAACGATTTAAATCTTTTCTATTAGAATCTTACTTGCAAATGACTTTCATATTTCTAGAATATATCAGTCACATGCACTTGCTAACTCATCATTCCGTTAATTTAACTCTGCAATACAAGTCTTCTGTTATTCACAGCGTCTCACGCAACCATTCGTTTTTCTTCACTCAACTTATAAGCCAATATTTATGTCATATTTTTAGTCATGTTTTTTAGTTAATTTTGTATTTGATGCGTGACGTGTTATTATCGGTCATGGATTACAGTGCGTGCGATTGGCGTGACAAACTTATCGTCCTCGTTTGTGGGACAAAGTTTAATACGGAACTATTATACAATTCGTTTTTAAACGGTTTTTATACTAAAAATAATGTTAGTCAATTAACAAAAAGCAAATAACTGATGTTATAATCGTTGTTTCGTTTTTATGTGACGCCTAATATTAACAAGCGTTGTTATTAGATAACTAGCTGTTTCCCGCGACTACAATAGCGTTTATGCAAAATTTAATGGAGATCTGTTCAACCATTTATGAGATACATTTTAACAAACATTCATCCAAACTTAAAAACTGTCGCATTTATAACACTAGTAAGATTAAAAAATCAAACAGAGTTTTAGACAGATTTAAATTCAGCGAAATTAGTTAAAAGAAATTATATTATCTGCATTTCCTTATAAGTATGAAAAATATATCACATCCGCGTCTTGTTGTGAGTCACTTTTCTAAGTAGTTCATCAAGGGTTATCAAAAAAAAAAAATTACGCATGGACTTAATCTGTGACAGACGGAGTCGAGACATTGTGACGTGTCGGAGCAGACTTCGATCGTGACAGATAATTACGGCGGGAATGCGTCGTGTCATAAGATAGATGCTGGCCGCCAACATCATGCTTATCTGCTTTCATTTGCTTTCAATTCACTGTGCAGGGGCCACAGCAATGCTACAGACTATATCTTGACAGTGTAATGTACAGTCAAATGGCAGTTCATTACTTTCAATGCATTCAAAGAGACTTGAGTACAGTTAGCAAAATAAAACTGAATACTGCATTCACATCTTGTATGTTGTATGTTTCTCTGGCTAACTGTAGTGTCTTACATTAAGTTAATAAATAAGTATTTTAATGACCTGATTAATTTATAAAATGTATTAATGCATCAACTTTACACAAAATAATTGTAACTAATTTTAAATCTTTTTTCCTCACAATCAAGTCAAGATATTCTTAAAAGTATATTTAATTATAAACAAATAAAGTTAATTTAATGGATAATTTAAATTAATTCAATTGATCAGACTCCTATAACAAAAACTACAGTAAACAGCACATTTTGTCATGATGATGTTTCTAATATTAGTACTAATTCAGGTAAGTGGACCGGCTAAAGTGAGGGTAGTACTTAAACGGAAGTAACTAAATGGAAAATATAATCATAAACTTACCAAGTTAACATACCCCCAATGCCAAAGCCAATCACTATTGCTGGGTTGTTGGCAGATACCCCTAGAGCCTTTAACAGGGCTGACAGCTCTTCCACAGCTCTCGGGGGAGACAGGTCTCTCCTGTTGCCACACTCACTACCCCCTGTCCCTCGCAGGTCCAATGTGACCACATGGTGTCCAGTCTCCGCCAGGCGTCGCACCACCGAAGACCACGACGGTACCCAAAGGTTGCCAGCGTCCGGCGCGTCACCGAGTAACAGCACTACTTGACCATTCTTTGGTCCAGTTTCTACATAGTGATATTTAACTCCCTGAAATAAAACATATTTCTAAGCAAAAGTGTTCACTTATTTTTAGTTTTGGACTTTTCAATGTTAAATATAACATTACAAAAGATTTAATAAACTCATAAAAAAGATTACCTTACCATAACTTTGATATAACAATGTATGCCTATCGAAGAGTCTACGGTAAGTTCGACCGGTGGAAAATTCTTTGAAAATTTTCTGCGGTGCCCTTTCCATAACCTTCGCACTGCAAACTGCACCAGTTGCCATAGTCCTAGGAATATGCACTTTAAAAATAATTTAACCGCGTTCGTCCCCGACACAGGCTCTAAGACATTTTGGTTCGTCGCACCCATGATAACTAATTATTTTATTTATGAGAATGCTCCTAGGTCGCAAGGTGATCGATATACGTGATGTTATTGAGTTCGACGCATTCTTATCAAAAACTTTATCTTACTAGTTTGAAGTAAACGGATACGAAATAAAAATGAATGCAATCTGGTTGTCAATGTCACAACTATTTTGTTATCTAGGATGCGTTCGAGTTAACATGTAAATTAAAAATAGAACTCAGAACTTTTATAAAAATTCTAAATTGGCTTGGTAAGTTGGAGAAACAAAAAACAAAATGTTCAACATTCTCAAACAATAAAACTCTTACAAATATACTTATTGGAATACTACATACAGTTGGTTCTATATTTTCATTAACAAATGTCTACAATACAATTTAAAATACAAACTAAAACAATCAAAGTAAATTTCTTTACACTGAACCATAGTATATTCCGTAAAAGGAACGTGCTAAGTATATTTTACGTATAATAAGTAAAAAAACTTCGTCATAATGATCAGGAATGTCCATTTGCAATAAAAAAAAGTTTGCCTTTACATTATCGTAGGCGTTGCACAGGTCGGCAGTGAAGGCTTAAGCAGTTTTAAACATTGCTCTCGGTGAAGTCCACTCGTTATCCCATCGTTAGCTCACATGACTGCGCTTTTCTTCGTTTGTCATTACACAATCTCGTCTGAAGTGCCTTCTGTGTCGATACGACCTTAATTTATTTATAAATAAACTCTCGACTGCATCGCATCGCACTTTAAAATGCAACATGTGGTACGGCACAAATGTAGTTTGATTGAATATAATATATCATCAAATATTAGGTATATTTTTTGAGCATAAAAAGATTCTTTATGCTCAATAAATATCATATATTAAATATAATATTAAATTGATGCAAAATACTATTTGACCCCATTGACTTTGGTGTTGTAATCAGTACACGGGTGAAGTATATGTTTGTCTTTTTTTTAATAAGGCATTCATTCGACAAAGCCCTTGTAACAAATAGGCGGGGAATTTGACAGTTACGGATGTGGTGTGGAGGCACGTTCGCTCGCTCCCCGGCGGCTCCGCGTGTCTCCGGTGACACTGTGAGCGGATCCCGCTCTGCAAACTAATGTTATGTATCGCGATACATAAGGGAACTGAAGATAGTCTGAAAGAGCCCTTATGAGGATTTCGGCAACGGAAATGTTGCCGTTTCTGCGTGGTGCGATTTAAAGCGGAAACATATGAAATTCTTTTTTTGTTCTATTTTCAAATAATGTTTGACCATAAACAAAACACTTCTTTTTTTAATCAAAAAGCGAGATGATGATTAAGAGATAGGGTAAATAAAGTTTGACTTTCTGTTTAAAAAATGTAGTTTATCACAGTTTTTTCGAGGTTTTCCATCTTGATTTATATCGAAAGTGAATTTTGTCCTACTTGGCTTTCTTGTTCGGGCTTATTTGGCAAAGTTACAATGTTACAAAGTATTTATATTAGTATCTACATTGTCGCTGTGAGTGTGGCTGTGGGGCTATCACCGGGCCCCGTGGCGGCGTATCCGCTGCGAGGCGGGGGACGGCGCTCCGCAGCGAGCGACGATTGTCATGCAAATGACGATACGACACGGACGCGACACGACTGCGATGTAACTCGCGACAGCAGCGACACGACCGCATTGGAAAGTGTACATTGCTGCATTAGTACAACAAATAAATATTCTTACTTCATGGAATTTTAAAATAGTCGTTTTTAAAACTTGTTCAAACAGTAAATTTATAATAAATTATTAATTTACTCTTATAAATATCGATTGTTTAACATTATAAAGCATTTAATATCTGCCATAGAAAAAATCAATAAAAAGAGATTTAATTTGATATATTTGGACACTCGATAGTACCTACTTCCATAAGCAGTGTATTGTGAGTATGTTTTAATAATGTTCTTCAGTAAGTGTTGAGCCGGTGGTGGTTGGGGGTGGTCGGGGGTGTTGGGGCACGCCCCGCGGATCAGACGCGAAATGATTAATAATTACGTGACACGAGTAGACCCGCTGCGCCGCGCTATGTAACTCTCATTGAATACCTCCCTTCACATAGTAACCTTTACATAAAAATGTTATTGTAGTTATGACGATTGTTTGAATTTTTATAAAACATTTAGATTATCCTAAATATTGGTGTAAATAACTTCTATTCTGTTTCCTTCGTCTTATTAGTTTGCTTGTTGTGTGATTATAAACTACTAGCTGTTGCTCGTGACTTTGTCCGCATAAAATTAAATAAAGGATAAGGTATAGCCTATGTCACTCACTGATAACTTAGCTTTTTAATGGCGAAAGAATTTGTTAATAATTTCAATACATACAGAAATATAAATCTTCTCTATTTATAATATTAGTATAGAGAAACATTTCAATAGTATCAGGCAACTAGGAAAATCACCAAAAACCGTTGTTGATTTGAAACTTATTTTATATTGAATAACAAATCGCCCGAATCTACTATGAATTACTAAACTACATTATTACATTGCAAAGACGTGTTACACGATACTGTAACCACAATCTGGTATCTTTACGCGCGCAAAAAACTCTATTATTATGAAACTGAATTATGTTTGAAAGCATTCACTAATCAAATAAACGGATCGAACCCGACACCGCCTGCCCCTGCCTGCCCCTGCCTGCCCCTGCCTGCCCCTGCCTGCAGCCGCGCCGCCAGGTACGAGGTGTCGCCTTGCAGGGATCGTGGCTGACAACACTGAGCCATGCTTTGTCCACAAATCTGCTCATATTTATTTGATCTGCTTACTGCAATTTTTTACAACACATAATACCTTTTGATTTCAATAAAAATCCAATCCGACATTCGATAATTCGTAAAATTCGACGTTCTATCTGTTCTCTTTAAAAGTCCAATTGCATAAATCAATGCGTTCCGTGGAGCGGGAAAAAAGCGAGGGAAAACGGATTTCAGTTTAGTGACGTAAATGTTGGCCGGACCATAGAGTTTTGTTATGTTTTTTTAGCGCTGCATTAGCATGCGCCGGCGGTAACCGCGTTACGGCGACGTGAGCTCGGACCGTTGGCAGTGAGGGCGACGCGGCGACGAGGCGGTGGCGAGGCGGCGGCGAGGCGGTGAGGGCCACTCGTTACCTACTTGACTGTGTAACTTCGTTTGTGAGTGCTCACTGCTTCTGGCATTTCACTATCGACTTTTACGGACATGTCAAAACGTTATGCTTGGTAGTGGATTCGTCATACATTCAAATGTAAATCAAATATACACATTTGGTGAAAAGGCCATCGGTGTCTTGATCGTGAACTTAAGACTAAGATCTCTGTATTAGAGTGTTTAATGCTAAAATTGGGTAAACTCTTAGTTGTTTTGAATGATTTCGCTGAAAATACAACTGTTTCCAGAAGTGTAATGTAGGTACTTAATTTCTTAGCCCTATAAAAGGAGTCAAATTATTCTACTTTCTACGTCCGTTTCTTTCGCGTGTCAATGAGCCAGCATTTTGATTTGTTCTCCATGTAGGGTGCGTCACGCTGGCAGCTTGTAGCAGCTATTATGGCGCCCCTGCTCACAGATTCATTTAAAATGTTATTTTACACCCAGCCGTTATGTTATGTAATTCTTTTGTGTCCAATTGTCGGCTATGTGCATTGCATTGATGACATTCTACGACCTTTACGTTTGTCGTTGGATTTTGAGCTCTATGGCCGTTCAAATCCATTGTTTATGGTCCTCACATCGGCGCCATTTTGTTCGAATGCCCCTACATTGTAATTTGTTACTAATAAGAGAACTGTTATTGATTTGCGTCATTGAATTACGCTGAGAGCTTTTATTAGGCAGTTACGATAATGCTATTGTATTTGTTTAAAGTTTGTAATACATTTATACATTTTACATTTCAATAAAAATGGTTAAAGTATCTACGGATAAAAGAAATATAAAATAAAAAGCTTTAATATAATTAAAATTGATATTGTAATGAGGTACGGTATAGCGTTGGCTTGTAATTGACGTCACTTCGCAAAGAGTGTAGCCGGGTGCTTGTACTCGCTAACGAAGTCAATTTACCCGGCCCGGGCGTAATGAAGCGCCGAGATCTCCCCGCGACCCGGACACCCGAGTATAGGTACCCGGCCGCCCGGCCACCCAGCGCCCAATTAATTTGCACCTACATTTTTCTCTTATTGGCCCTTTGCAGATTGGGCTTTCGCTGGGCAATGGTTTTTGTAGGTAATTATTACTGTTATTAATCAAGAAATAGATGAGGCCATTCAATGTCAATCAAATACAGCGTTAATAGCGTATTGATTAAACCTACGGATTACCGAACTACCGGTCAAGTATTGGAATTACGTCATTCGCCTATTGTTATAAATTCGTAGATATATTAGTGAAGTTTTTAAAACATTAACTAATTAGAATCAGTAGCAATTAACAGGCGAATGTTGCAATAGTATTAATATCTATTTAGAGTAGAAGTTTGTATATTTGACAAGTTTAATCATACGATTTCGATGAAATTGGTCATAGACATAGAACATCTGAAGTTGCGAGCAAAGGTTAGTGAAATATATATTTAACAGTCGGTAACAGCGACGAGTTTAAAGTTATATAGAGGAATTAAATAGAAGTTGGATAGCGGGTGGCATAGGTGCAGAGCTCTCCCGAACTTGAGACGCTCATCATGATTGTCACTGAGAGGTGGAGAGGCTCCCGCCGCGCCGGGGCTGCTCACCGCCGCCTCGCTAACGAAGCTACTCCCAGATTGGCAGCTGCCACTCAACGACTAAAACCTCTAGATATAGCTCGCTGCTTTAAATATACATAGATATAAAATGTTAAATAAAACTTGGTAAGGAAATTCAAGTTTTCTGCATGTATTGAAGTAACTCAAAAACTACAGGACCAATTTCAAAAATACTTGCACCATTAAAAAGCTATGTTTTTACTGAGTAACGTAGGGTTTATTTCTGTTATTTTTTGATTTAGTTGATTGAAGAACTGGCGATTTATTCTACAACTATTATAAAAACTTATTTTCATTCATGTAGACATCTTAAAATTTTGCAAAACCTTCATTGTCTATGGTACGTAACAATGCCCGCTTAAATCGTAAAGTGATAAACTGCA